TGTGTGTATGTATATATTGATATTAAGGTATGTGTATATGTATGTATGTATGTGTGTAAGCATATCTGTATATCTCTATAAATTTGTAGATATATCTATATATTAATGGTAGTAGAAACCGGAGCACCTAGAGGAAAGCTATGCAGCCATGGGGAGAACATGCAAACTCCACTCAGAAAGGCCCTGTTCCACCCACAATAACACTACAAGCATATTCAGACTTTACCTACAAAGCCTTACACCAACTTTAAAGACACGACCTGGGATTGAACAAAATGCAAAAACTCTTCTCAAATTCCTCGTGTGTCCATTTTAACTAATTAATCCTCCTCTTTACCCTCTGCTCTTTAGACTATACTATTGATAAACAACATCTGAACAAAGCAGGATCAGGACTCAGTGCATTTGCTGCACTTTGGGAACCACTGAACTAAAGCTAAACATTATAGTTTTGATACAAAGGTTGTGGCTCAGAGACTTCAGAGCATGTGTGTCCGCGGGTCAGGAGATGAATATGGTACTTTTATTAACATTTCTGCACAGTGACCAACGGCGCCTATGAGTTTGATTCTCTGATCTGTCGTTGGTGAATCCGCAACTGTGTGAAGTCCTCCGAGACGACTGCTGCTGTGATTTAGGGCGATACACATTTTATTATCAATCCATGGTCGTTTCCAGCTGGAGGCTAATGCTAATGCTAGTAGTTATATCTGTCGTCTTCACGTTTCTTCTTCTGTTCGTTTCCCTGAAGCTCATTTGTTCAACCCTCTCAAATCACACTATATCTACCTACGATAGTTTTGTTCTATTGTGAAAATAAATACATAGAATACATGTTCTGGTCCTCGAGGCCCTTTGTAGCAGTCCAAGACAGTTTATACAATTAAAAGGACAAAACATTAGAGAATAAAAGACAACAATACAAACAGGAGGTGAACGTGCTCAAATAACTGTTAATGTTAGGGTTAAAGTAAACAGATGAATGAATGTCCATTGAACAGACAGTAAAAGATGCTAGCGGCCTGTGGCTAATGCTAACGCTAACAGCACTAGCATAACACACACTCACCGATCGCACGGAGCAGGAGCAGCTGCGGTGTGCAAAAAGTGCAGTCTGAATACAACCGGACAAAGAAAATTGTTTTGGTCTGCTTTTGGTTAGGACCAAGCAAGTCGGACCAAAGGACTTCTCTGGTCCCCCTGAATACACTCTCAGACACTCAAATTCAAGTATAATGAGCTCAATGTGATTTTGAGCCAAAACCTCCCATCCATGAGAGCTTTGAAGTATGAAACTTGGCTGGTCTTCCAGCATGACAATGATCCCAAAACCACCGCCCGGCAACCCGAAGGATGGCTCCGTAAGAAGCATTATGAAAGTCCTGAGTGGCCTAGCCAGTCTCCAGACCTCAACCCCATTGAAAATCTGTGGAGGAGTGAAAGTCTGTGTCAAAGCTCTCGATAAGAACTGCATGGAGGAATGGGGCCAAAATACCACTACTGTGTGTGCAAACCATGGTGAAGACCTATAGTAATCGTTTGACCTCTGTTCTTGCCAATAAAAAAAAAGACAAAGGTTATATTACAAAGTACTGAGTTGAATTTGATATGACCAAATACTATTTTCCACCATAATTTACAAATAAATTCCACCAATGCTTTTGAGATATTTGTGAAGTATGTTCATGTCCGACTTGGTTTTGTGTTACCGGCTGGTGGACCAATTGTCATGGTAACGGTCCGAAATGAGAAAATGTCAGACCGCAAATCAACCAATCAGAGCGTGCATACGGTCTAAGTCATATAATATTGTCTACGATATATTTTGTCAACCCCTGATGGATGGATGGATCCAGTCTGAAGGTAAAGGACACAGTAGTGAGAGAGTTTGAAGGTAAAGGAGACAGTAGAGAGAGAGAGGAGAGGGTCTGATGAGAACTTTAACATCAGAGAATGTTGGACAAACTCCTTTTTTCTAAACAAAAACGAATATTGGTTAAGGAATTTGAAGGCAAAAGGACTGAACTCAAGCAGTACACATTTTATTTTATTTTTTCTGAGGTTATTCCATTATGTCTGATTTTGTGACAATAGTCTGTTGTATCTGAATAATGTAAGTGATGTACGTTCATGTAGAGAACACTTCAGTCTTGTTCTGTGATAAGGTCCTGTGTCCTGAATGTTCAAGGATAAAGTTGTTGCTGTTCTCCTGAGTCTTCAGTCCTGTACATGGTTCTTTTCATTGGAGTAAAACTACACTTTGTATGAATTACATAGATTTATACATACTTTGACATGTTTCAATGAGACAAAACAACATTTTTCATTTCTATAAACCGCAGATTGTGTGAATCCTATATTTGTGTATGCTCTTATTTTTTCTAAGATAAAATGTACTTTATACTTTATTAATCTCACACGTTAATCTGGCTGTGTCTGAGGTGTAATGACCACTGCGCTGACGGCCTGGATGTTCTGAAGGCACTGAGCTTCTGTCTGCTCTTCTATGACACACACTTCATATTTACACATTTGTTTAATAGAAACGACTCTCGTTTGAAGCATGGTCTTGGTTTATGACAAGACTACTTAATCTGAAGCAAATGATTACAAATGCATTTGTGTGTATAAACGTTATGTAGTTGTGTAAATATGTGCGTGTGTTTGTGTGTGTAAATGTGTGGCTAGATAGTCTTGGACTCAGTGCTACACAGTTATTTATACAATAAAGGACAAACATTCAAGAATAAAAGACAACAATATAAACAGGAGGTGAACGTGCTCCAGGAACTCGGTTAATATTACTGTTAAAGTAAACGATGAATGAATGTCCATTGAACAGACAGTAAAAGATGCTAGCGGCCTGTGGCTAATGCTAACGCTAACAGCACTAGCATAACACACACTCACCGATCGCACGGAGCAGGAGCAGCTGCGGTGGTAGAAGGAGCTCTACACGGGGATCATGCAGATGTTCCCTCTGCTCCAATCAGCTGCTGACTTTATGAAGCACAAAGATCAAAGATCGTTGTTAAGGACAGATGCTAGTGGAGAATAAACTATGCTCTCACGTTGGTATCTTTAGCCTCTTGTCTGGGAATATTTATTGTTGAACAACTTGGCAGCACAGGGAGCATGAGCCATAGAGGAAGTTAGCGATAGAACAACATGACTACATCCTGTAGCGCCTTCAAAATAAGAGCTTCTGTTTAGACAGGGAGTAAGAGCGATATAATACTAGAAATGGTACAATGGCTGAAGCCATTGTGAGTGGCTGCATAGATGTTGGAAGGGTTAGGGATGAAGAAGGAAGAGGAAGGGGAAGAAGAGAAAGAAGGAAGAAAATAGAAAAAGAGAAAGTAGGAAGAGGAAGAAGATGATGAAGAAGATGAAGGAGAAAAAGATGAAGAAGGTGAAGAAGATGAAGAAGGAGGAAGAAGATGAGGAAGGAAGAAGAAGGTGAAGAAGAAGAGGAAGAAGGAGGAAGAATGTGAAGAAGGAGGAAGAAGATGAAGAATGAGAAAGAAGAAGGTGAAGAAAATGAAGAAGAAGGAGGAAGATGAAGAAAGAAGAATGTGTTGTAAAGTGCTGTAAGTGTTGTAAGATGTTGTAATGTATTGTATCTGTGGTAATGAATTGTTAGTGTGGTAATGTGTTGTATGGGGAGTAATCTGTTGTACTGGTCCAATGTAAGTCAATGGGAAAAAGTGCTTGAACTTTTGTAAATAATTGAAAACGTGCAAAAGGTGGAAGTGTGAAAAGTAATAGCAATAATGAGACGGTGAAGCCGGTCGTAACGATGTATAATTTGTTGAATTTTGTGAAAGCGTTGAAGAGTTGAAAAGTGCCAAAATCTGGCGGAAGAAGAAGAAGAAGATGGAAGGGGAAGAAGAAGAAGATGGAAGAAAAGAGAAGAAGAGGAGCAAAGAGGAAGAAGGAGGAAGAGGAGGGGAAGAAGAAAGAAGGGGAAGAAGGGAAGAAGAGGAAGAAGGGGGAAGAAGAGGAAGAGAAGTGAAGAAGATGGGAAAGAAGAAAAGAAGGGGCAGAAGAAGTTTCTGAAGAAGTGATGAAAGTGCTGAAGGTGTTCTGTAATAAAGTGAAACGTGTGTAGTGCAATGAAAAAAGTGCAACTTTTTGTAAATTATTGAAAACGTGTGGTGGAAAACGAGTAATGAGCAATAATGAGACGGTGAAGCCGGTCGTAACGATGTATAATTTGTTGAATTTTGTGAAAGCGTTGAAGAGTTTGAAAAGTGCCAAAATCTGGCGGAAGAAGAAGAAGAAGACTAGAAATGGTACAATGGCTGAAGCCATTGTGAGTGGCTGCATAGATGTTGGAAGGGTTAGGGATGAAGAAGGAAGAGGAGGGGAAGAAGAAGGAAGAAGAAGAGGAAGAAGAGGAAGAAGAGGAAGAAAGGGAAGAAGAAGTAGAAGAGGAAGGTGATTCAACCGAATGCTTCATAATTTGCTCCGCACCCTCCCTTACTCCCGCAAGCAGGACTGGGCTTCCTGTCTCCCACAGGTGTTGTACTCTTATAACACCACACCTCACCAGAGCACCGAGGAGTCACCATACTTGTTGATGTTTGGCCAAGATCCTAAACTCCCAATTGACTTTCTTCTGGGTCAAATTCAGGATACCGTTGTGGGCACAGTCCAGGACTGGTTGCTGGAACACTGTTCCAGGCTCAAGGTTGCTTTTGCAAGCGCGAAGAGGCGATTAGCTTTGAATGCGAAGAAGAGGAAAGAAAGGCACAATGTTCATGTCAGGGAGGCACCTCTAGAGGTTGGTTCCTTGGTTTACCTTCGAGACCATAGTGCACAAGGGTGTCATAAGATCCAGGACCTGTGGCACCAAAATCTCTTTCAGGGGCTGAAGGCACCTGGTGGAAATGGCCCAACCTACACTGTGGCCCCGGTCACCAATCTACAAGCCTCGCACACTGTGCACAGGGACATGCTTAAACCTCATATACAATCCTGTCCCCCACCGGAGGCCTCTATGCCAGAGTTTTCTTTCCCTGAAACTCCCAGTAGCAGCTCTTCTCCTGGTGGTTCTTGGCTTCTGTGCTCCAGACGCGAAGATTTGGTTCCTCAAACATCCAACTTGCCACCCTGTGATGGTCCTTCCAGAGGACCCGCTCCTGTTTTAGTAGGGGACGTAGCAGTGGAGGCTCAAGGAGACCCAGCTGCTGCAGTGCTCGAACCCAGCACTAGTGAACAGGGCTTACGTCGTACCACTAGGACAACTGCTGGACGTCATCCTAACCCTTATCGTCTCCCTCGCACTCTCAGGGACTGACTGGATATCACAGTTGCTGTTTTGGTCTAGTGTTCATTGGGAGTTTTAGGTCTTTAGTTGTGTCGTCTGGGCACCGACAAATTAAGGGGGGGCAGAATGTGGCATGTCGGTGTACACCTTACCCTGAGCTGATTGGTGGGCGTCACCGAGCAGTGCCCATAAAGACACGGAAACGCGCCGCGAGCACGCATACTGAGCTGGGAAAGACTTTGTTTGAGTGCGGTGGTCACGGCGTTTGGTGACCGACTGCCTCCTTTGTGGAGAACGCTTGTGGGCTTGGGCGCCACAGTCTGGGTTGTGCGTGTGTGCATGTCCTCCTCCTTGGTAAGTTGCTCATTGTCCATCCTTTATTGGTTGGCCTTGTGCCAAAGCTGACCATCAAACACTGTTGCTTCAGACTCCGAGCTGCATTAGGGACCAGCCAATAATCCGCATGACGCATGCCAGACCTATTGTACATATTTTTAGTGGTAGGGGTAACCAGAGTACCCGGAGGAAACCTACGCATACACAGGGAGAACATGCAAACTCCACTCAGAAAGGCCCTGTTCCGACCAGGATTTGAACCCAGGACCTTCTTGCTGAGAGGCGAGAGTGCTATCCACTCAGCCACCGTGCCGCCCATGTTTTACCGTTAATTTCATTTGCATACCCCAAGTTATTTTTTTTTGTTGCATTATTTTGCTTGCTTAATTTGTCCAACCTGTACAATTTAATGCTGTTTAACCATTTTTATCCATTCCTATAGGCCTATAGTATTTTAATCATTGTAATAAAATAAATATTTTTGTACATTTATAACACTGTTTCACGTCATGTCAATGTCCACGGCCCTGTGTGCTTGTTTAATCCAATTAGCTCACATTTTCCCAGGTACTGGCCCTGGGTGGCGTTGTTGGTACTCTTATCCGTTTTTGTTGTTGTAACCAAACCAAAGTTGAAAATCCACTCTGACTGCCACAAAAAAACATGTCACAAGTTTTGAAAAGGTGCAGATACTTATAAATTTCCAACCCCCTCTCACACATACAACAAAACAGAAAATACAAACTACACAAACACTGTACAGTTACATCATTATATCAAAATAAATAAACAAGACACACAAAGACAAGACGCACACTCGATCTCTCACTCACACAGACACTGGCCCAAACACTCCCTGACCACACACCTCTCTCCCACCGCTCTGTCCAGGCCCAGGACATCAATCTCTTGTCCATATATTTCATCATTAAGTCTTTTCTCTTTAAATGTCTTATTAAATGCAGTCATATTTGAGCATGTTTTTAATTCTTCTTTTAATCCATTCCGAATGTGACGCCTTTGACCAAAACACACACAGATTTTAAACGTAGTCCTAAATGTAGGTACATAGAATAGTTTGTTTCCTCTTACTCTGTAATCATGATGAGCGACTATCGCTGAAAAGATTATTTAAATTGGACGCTAGAGAGTTTTCAGATGCCCTGAACATTATCTGAACAGTTTTAAGGACGATCCTGCAGTTTCAGTCGTGTTTGTTTTTCTATAAACAGAGGATTAGAAGGATGTCTGAAGTGGACGTTGGACACAATCCTTAAAGCCTTCTTTTGTAAGATAATCAGGGGCTGTGAGTGAGATTCATAGAAACTCCCCCACACTTCCACACAATAGAGCATTGGTATTCTGATTCAGTGAATTTTCATTATTCCCACCACACTGAGCAACTTTTATCCTTAAGTAACTTATGTGAGGTTTCCAGCTCAGATCTTCATCTATTATTACTCCCAACTAACATATATAAGTATGTAGGATAAATTAAACTGACCGCTTTCCTCAATCAGACATTTTGTTGTATATTGAGACATATTATAACTTCTGTCTCCACTGTGTGTAAATCCTTGTGGTTCAGGTTTTATTGTGGGTAAGAATGTCTTAAGATAAGTGCCATAGCAACACCCTTCCCCCAACGACTCTACCAGATGTGAAAACTTACAAGGACCCACAGGGAAGACAAACCAGTCTGCTTTGGAACCATAGAGTGACCAGACCTCCCTGGGCTCTGCCCTGGGCTCTGCTCAGGCAACCAAGGGGCTTCGGGCCTCTTAGATGGCCTCAAACCTCAGCTCCACGTTTGAGAGGACTTCCACAACCCTTCAATAGCCTCCAGCTTCAACCTGAAGAAGTTGCTGAGTTTTGGCACCTAGACTGTGGATCGTGGGAGGACTTGGTTCAGCCACATGATGCAGCCGCATGGTCCAGGCCCCGTGGACAAGAAGCCTCCATCCAACACCATCAAGACCCAAGGACTGCTATTCACCAAAGGCTATTCTGGTTGTATGATCTGCTCTCTTGCTACACACAGTTGTTGGCTTTATTAAAACCTATACTTCAAAGAATACTTCTCTTACCAAGGCTGAACACATGCAGGCCTCAGCCTATACCAATCCATTCATAGACAAAGGTCTTGCTTAGCTCACTTTAGCCTAGCATATATATCTTGAAATCAACGTTTCCTTCATGTTATTCTTGACAATTTGCATATTTCATTTCTAGTCTGTATTGTGTATACTTCATTAAATCTACAAAACCATCTTTGTCAAAGTGATATTTGTACTTTTAACTCCAGAAATTGGGTCACTGATTTGTAAAAGAATTCACTACCTTCAGATTCTATTGAAGAGAATTGGACTAATTAGCTAATTAAATAATGAAAGGACTCATGAGATTACTTAACTCATTGAATGCCAGCCTATTTCAGAAAAGGTACTCCCACAGTGCCAGCCATTTATGATGATTTTTACTGATTTTTCAAGACCCACAGAATATTGTGTACTATGACTATCTGAAATCCGACACCAGATTCTAAAAGAATGGACTGTCTACTTTCCTCAGCAAAAAGAATTTTGTTTATAGCTTTTTTCGTTCCCCTGTAATCCTCCGTTGAGTAGAGGGAAGTTTTACTGAAATCACCAGAAATCACCAGAAAGTTGAGAAAAAAGAGGCACAACATGTGCACCTACATGTTTTCAAACCATTCAGAGAGCAATGCTGCCACCTGCTGGCTCGATAAAATATGGTCTCAAGTCATCCCCATACATACTAGATACAATAGACATCTGGGAACGTGAAAATAGCGAAAAAGGATGACGGATTAATACGTCAATGGCACACGATGTTGGTCCGTGTACGTCGCGGCCATTCTATTTTTGATTAGGAAAGAAAATACAAAAAACGAATATTGGCCGTTTCCCGTTTTCCGTTTTCAAAATATAATGTAGAAAACGAGAATTTAATCCGTTTTTCGATTTTGTGTTTTAAAATTAAAAAACGGATAACGAAAAACAGGTCATAATCCGTTTTTCCATTACACATTTACACAAGAAACACCAACATCGAAAAACCACGGCAAAAATTTGATTTTCCATTCTTGATCTTATTTTGAAGCTGACCCGGAATCTGTTAACCATGCCTACCACTATGCCACTAAGCGGCCGAAGTCACTCTACTTTGTGAGAAGACGTCAGCTGTTACAGTGGCTAACTAATTTGTCTTATTTTCTACTTTAATATCTAAAGTAGATGTCTATCATGACATCTAAAAGATGTCATGTCGACATCTTTAAAAGTAACCCGTTTGCTGTCTCGATACAAAACAAAAGTTTTCTCCAACTCTGGTATCTCCATTATCATTCAAAAAACTGGAAAACTCTGACTGTGCGGGAAAGCCTCAACAGCTTCCGGGTCAGCTTCAAAATAAGATCAAGAATGGAAAATCAAATTTTTGCCGTGGTTTTTTGATGTTGGTGTTTCTTGTGTAAATGTGTAATGGAAAAACGGATTATGACCTGTTTTTCGTTATCCGTTTTTTAATTTTAAAACACAAAATCGAAAAACGGATTAAATTCTCGTTTTCTACATTATATTTTGAAAACGGAAAACGGGAAACGGCCAATATTCGTTTTTTGTATTTTCTTTCCTAATCAAAAATAGAATGGCCGCGACGTACACGGACCGATGTTACTATTTGCTTTGACGTATTTGTGCGTCAATGGGACACAATGAGTTAATCAATAAATGAGCCAATTAATTGATATTGTGACGTCATGCACGTTATCAGTTGGGAGTTATTCCCTGGTGCCCCTAAATAAAGCTATTATCAATTATTGTATTTATTACATGGTTGTTTTTGATCCAATTCTCCGATATCAGGTACATAACTTAAGTTATGTGTGATATCGACATTTTCTCACCCTACAAGTATGTTAGCAGGTCAGCCCACAGGTCTTTCCCCCGCGGTTTAAGGCCTGCTGGTTTCTGGGGTTGCACAGGCGACTAGCCTGACTCTCCCCTCTGAGTTTGCCAGTCTTCCTCCGTGGTTCAGCTCTGAGATGAGACCCCTCTCTTCCTCCTTCTCCTGCCCGCGGCCTCCTCACATTTTGGGTTTTCCCTTGATATTTCCGGCTCTTGGTATTTCGACAGGTGGATTATTCGGTGGCCAGAAGTTGGCCCCCGGGACAATGCTTTGGTGGATGGCAGCTGTAAATAATCTCCAGAGTGTAACTGAATACCTCTAAACCTTAATTTAACAATTATCAAACTTTTTTTTTTAATGTCCTTTATGCAGGCACTGAGCTTTTCTAGCTGATCTGTCTGATTTGGCTTTATCGACAGATAAAGCTGTGTGTCATCTGCATAGCAGTGGAAATTAATTCCATGCTTTTTAATAATGTTTCCTAACGGCAGCATGTAGAGAGTAAAAAGAATCGGTCCGAGTACCGAACCCTGCGGCACACCGAATTCTACTCCAGAATAAGGCGACGAGTTCTGATTTACGTTGACGAAGTGATACCGATCTGATAAATAGGATTTAAACCAGCCAAGGGCTGTTCCTCTAAGACCTATATCACATTCTAGCCTCTGCAGTAGAATGCTGTGGTCTATTGTGTCAAATGCAGCACTAAGGTCCAGTAGGACCAGCACTGACACTTGTCCATTATCAGCAGCTAGTAGTAAGTCATTTGTGACTTTGACTAGTGTGGCGGTAGGCCCTCGTATCCACCGGCAGCCTATTAAGTGCCACCTGACCCCTTTAAAAGGAGGGATTCCCACCTCCCGCCCCCCTCTTGGTCGCCTCTGACGTCACCCGCCGTTTTGGAGCTGAGCACGGAGCACGAGGAGTGGAGCCTTGTCCCACGATCATTAGTGGCACGGTTTTAAGATAACAACATTGTTTTGATACTTTGATCCAGAGCGCGTCTTGACTATCGTTGCGTGCTGTGGCGCATCGCACGCGCACAAGGCTCCGCTCCATTTGTTTACATCTGCGGCCCATGCTACATGCTCTGCATACGCAAAAGCTT